TATTACATTCCTAACATCCCTTATAATTTAATATTTGTTAGTAAATTGATCAACTCTCTTAACTGTATTGTCACCTTCTCAAACCATTCTGTTTCTGTGCAGGACCCGGGTACGGGGAAGACGATTGGAGTGGGCCGTGAGTCACGGGGTCTGTTTTACCTGGTTGTGCCGAGTCCTTCCGTTGCTTGTTCTCTCACAGAATCTCCACAACTCATCCACGGTCGCCTCGGGCATCCTAGTCTTTCAAAATTACAGAAGATGGTTCCTCTTTTATCCGGCCTTCAGACTTTAGATTGTCAGTCATGTCAGCAAAGAAAGCACATACGCTCCTCCTTTGCTAATCGAGTCAATAAACGAGCTGATGCTCCTTTTTAAATTATTCATTCAGATATTTGGGGTCCTAGTCGTAGTGTGTCTGTTTTAGGTTTTCAGTATTTTGTTACCTTTATTGATGATTTTTCACGTTGTACTTGGATTTATTTAATGAAAAACTGTTCTGAGTTGTTTTCTATTTATCAAAAACTTTCTGCTGAAATTCATACTCAATTTGGTGCCTCTATTCGTATTTTACGTAGTGATAATGCTAAAGAATGTTTCTGTGGACTTTTCTAATTTCTTAGTCAAACAGGGTACTTTACACCAAACTACTTGTCCTCACACTCCACAACAAAATGGAGTAGCTGAACGTAAGAATAGACATCTCATTGAGACTGCACGGACTCTTCTTATTCATATGCATGTTCCTCTTAACTTCTGGGCCGATGCAGTCCTTGCCTCTTGTTTTCTCATCAACCGTATGCCTTCATCTGTGCTTAATAATGACATTCTTTATAACTTATTGCTTCCAGATGTTCCTCTCTATCCTCTATCCCCACATATCTTTGGTTGTACCAGTTTTGTTCATGATCTCACCCCTGGTAAGGACAAGTTAACATCCAAAGCCTTTAAATGTATTTTTCTTGGTTATTCTCGTCTTCAAAAGGGTTATCGTTGTTATTCTCCCGATCTTAAGCGTTACTTAGTTTTCGCTGATGTCACTTTTCATGATCAACAACCCTTTAATTCTATCCCATCTCAGTTGTCACAGGTTGATCATGTTCTTCCTGTCCCTTTTCTTGACTTGTCTTTGCCAGCTGCAGGTGCTTCTATTCCAGATGAGCAACCTATTGCTTCTATACCTGAGGACCGTCCACTTCTCACCTATCAGCGTCGCAAAACTGTGCCTCCTGTCGACTCGACTCTTGCTGACTCATCGCCCACTGCTGTTGATTCTTCTCCTCCGGATCCTTCACCAAAGGCTCTTCCTATTGCTCAAAGAAAAGGTACACGTACTACCCGTAACCCTTATCCTCTTTATACCTTTTTGAGCTATGACCGTCTTTCTTCACCTCATTTCACCTTTGTTTCTAGTCTTTCTTTTGTTTCTATTCCTAAGACCACAGGTGAAGCATTTTCCCATCCAGGGTGGCGCCAAGCGATGCTTGATGAGATGACTGCACTTCATTCCAATGGCACTTGGGACCTTGTTTCTGCTCCTCCAGAGAAGTCTATAGTTGGTTGTCGCTGGGTGTTTACTGTGAAAGTTGGACCTGATGGCCATGTTGATCGACTCAAGGCACGCCTAGTTGCAAAGGGTTTTACTCAAATCTTCAGCCTTGATTATAGCGATACATTCTCTCTGGTCGCTAAGATGGCGTCAGTTCGCCTATTTCTTGCACTTGCTGCTGTTCGTCACTGGCCACTCCTTCAACTTGACATCAAAAATGCCTTTCTTCATGGTGATTTACAAGAAGTTTATATGGAGCAACCACCTGGTTTTGTTGCTCAGGGGGAGTCTGGGAAGGTGTGTCGTCTTCGCAAATCCTTATATGGTCTCAAGCAGTCTCCTCGGGCATGGTTCAGTCGCTTCAGTTCTGCTGTTCAGGAGTTTGGCTTAATTCGCAGTAAAGTTGACCACTCTGTATTTTATAGGATCACATCTCCTGATAAGTGCATCTATTTGTTAGTTTATGTTGATGACATCATCCTCACCGGGAGTGATCAAGCTGGAATTCGTCAGTTAAAACAGTATTTACTTAGTCAATTTCAAACAAAGGACCTCGGGAAGCTGCGTTACTTCTTGGGAATTGAGGTAGCACAATCTAGACAGGGCATTTCTATCTCTCAAAGGAAGTATGCCTTGGATATCCTAGAAGAGACTGGTATGTTGGGGTGTAAACCAATTGATACACCCATGGATCCCAATGTCAAGTTATTGCCCAGATAGGGGGAGCCGTTATATGATCCTGGTCGTTATCGGAGGCTAATTGGGAAGCTCAATTATCTTACGGTGACTAGGCCAGACATTTCTTTCGGTGTTAGTACGGCTAGTCAGTTTCTTGATTCCCCTTGTGATTCTCATTGCGATGCTGCTGTGAGGATCCTCCGATACATCAAAGGAGCACCAGGAAAAGATTTGTTGTATTCAGATCAGGGAAATACAGAAATTTGTGGTTATTCAGATGCTGATTGGGCATGATCACCCTCAGACAGGCGCTCTACTTCTTGCTATTGTGTCTTCTTTGGAGGAAACTTAATTTCTTGGAAGAGCAAGAAACAACTTGTTGCTCGATCTAGTGCAGAAGCTGAATATCGTGCAATGGCAGTTACTACATGTGAGTTAATCTGGTTAAAGCAGTTGATTCAGGAGCTTCGTCTTTGTGAACAGAAACAACCCATGACACTCATTTGTGATAATCAAGCTGCGCTACATATATCCTCTAATCCTGTATTTCATGAGAGAACTAAACATATAGAGATTGATTGTCACTTCATTCGAGAAAGGATTCAGTAAGGAGAAATCAAGACAGCTTGTGTCAACTCTAATGGTCAATTAGTGGATGTCTTCACTAAAGCTCTTAGAGGTCCTCGGGTTGAATTCATTTGTAGCAAGCCTGGTGCTCACAATATATACGCACCAGCTTGAGGGAGAGTGTTAGAATAGATATGATTAGATACGATTAGATATGATTAGATTATTTCCTATCTGTAAATATTATTCCTTTGTGATTAGTTCTGGGCTACTCACTTAAGTCGATTAGGGTCTCTATATATTGTAACTCTTTGTATCAGATTAATACACAACATATTATTTTATATTCAAGTAAAACTAAACGGGAAGGGATTCTGGAGATTTTCTGAACTTCCTTTCTTCTAGGGCTAGCCTCATTCTTCTCAAAATATCTCCTATTTATAGATCTAGAAAACAGCCTACAACCCTTGCTCTCCTCCCTTAATCATGATCCAAAGGCACCAATCGTGATCCAAAGGCACCTCTTATTTCAGCTCAAAACAGTATTGATTGTGTGGATGGAAGGATTTTTCTTTGAGCGTGTGAACTTCTCCCCTCTTTTGCTTGTCTTGTGTATTTTCATTGCAAATAGCTTTTTCTTTCTATCTCCTATGTGCAAACGTTGCTGAAGTTTGTTGAAGAGAATATACTCCTCTTTTCATTTCTACTTTCCTTAATTGCCCTTGCTTCATACATAGAAAGTTTTCTGATTTTTGGTTTGGGACATGTGGGCTTCTAGTTGCCTTACTCAATGCATTCTCCTTACTAATTTCAATTGGGCTTTCCTGTATAAAACATTGATAACAAGTGAAACTGTCCAAAAATCAGCCCATGCTACCATGTCTTTTTACTTGACTTACAGCATAATTTGGAAAATCGGAGCAAAGGCAATCAAAGTTTGCTTAATTAGCTCTAAAACACACATAAATTCAGCACATAACCCAGCTAGATAGATCTATCAAGATCTTGACAAACTTCGGTACTTTTTATGAATCGAGGTAGTACAATCCTAGGATATTATTGTAATTTCATAGAGGAAATATGCTTTAGATTTTCTTAAAGAAATCAATCTATTGAATGCAAAACTAGTGGATGCTCCTATAGATCTAAACACTAAACTCCTATCTAATCAAGGGGAGCTACTTTCTGGTCCAGGAAAATATAGGTTAATTGGGAAATTGAACTATCTCATGGTTATTTGTTCGGATATCTCATTTGTAATCAATTCCTCAATGCACCTTGCATTGTACATTGGGATGCCACAATTCCTATCTTAAATATGTCAAAGGTGCTATAGGAAAAGGTCTTATCAATTGGGACGAAGGTCACACCCAGATTGTTGGATACTTAGATGTTGATTGGGTAGGTTCCTTAGTGATGGAAGGTTCACTTGTGGTTACTGCATTTATCAGGGATAATATGGTATTTTTAAAAAGTAAAAAACAAAATATGATTGCAAGATCAAGTGTGAAATCAAAATATCGGGCCATGGCTTCAGCCGTTTGCAAACTTATTTGACTAAAACAATTGTTTAGAGAACTCTAGTTTGTGATAATCAGGTAGCATTACGCACTGCCTTCAATCTTGTGTTTCACGAAAAGACTGAACTCATTGAGATTGATTGTCACTTCATTAGAGAGAAGATAAGATTGGGAGGCATCATCACTAGCTCTGTTCACTCAAATGATCATCTGACATGTTTTTACTTAGTTTTTGAGAGGTCCTTTAATAAGTTACATATTAACAAGCTTTGTGTATATGATTTATATGCTCCAACTTGAGGAAGAGTTGTGGTAATTGTAGTCACTGTTAGTACAAGTAGTAACTATGTAAATATTATCTTGCTGATTGTGTAAATCGGGATAGTCAAGAGTCAAGTAATTCTGGTAATCAGGACACTAGCTATATTTGTATTTATTATTCTTTGGCTATATAATCCAGAACCCATTGTGTAGTTTAGACACACGAGTTTCACCAAAGTCCCCCATTTTCACCTGACTTAACAAGCTCTATTATACACATTGACCTCTGTCCACTATTTTACAAGCATAATCTGTCAATTGATCAACTCTGAATCAGCATCAGATGTATTCTATGTTGATAAGATTAGAACCCAGATTGGTTTTGTTCATTTTTTTTCTTCGAGTTGATGTAATGGTATGTTTGACAGATGATGCTGGATGATTTGGAAGATGGGGGGAAAGTTTATCTTGTCTATCCAATTATTGAACTTTCTGAGCAGCTACCTCAGCTTCGTGCAGCCTCTGCAGATCTTGAAGTTATATCATCCCGGTTTCAAGGATATAATTGTGGTTTATTACATGGAAAAATGAAAAGTGATGAAAAAGAAGAAACATTAAGAAAGTTTAGGACTGGAGAAATGCATATACTACTTGCCACTCAAGTAATTGAGATTGGTGTTGATATTCCAGATGCATCTATGATGGTAGTGATGAATTCTGAGAGATTTGGAATTGCCCAGTTACACCAACTCAGAGGACGAGTTGGACGTGGAACAAGGCAGTCAAAATGTATACTATTAGCATCAACTGCCAGTAGCCTAAATCGTTTGAAAGTACTTGAGCAATCATCAGATGGGTTTTATCTCGCTAACATGGACCTTTTATTACGTGGACCTGGTGACTTGCTTGGCAAGAAACAATCTGGACATCTTCCCGAGTTTCCTGTTGCCAGATTGGAAGCTGATGGAAATATTTTACAAGATGCACACGTTGCTGCACTGGTAAATATTCTATACTAACATCTCTAATAGTTATTGGGTTTTAGTTTATGCTACATTTCAATAGATCTAGTGATAATGCTATTTCTTTTAAATTATAAGAATAAATTAATTTTCAATTGCCCAAAACTGATCCTTTGCAGAAAATTTTAAGTGCTTCCCATGATTTGGAGCAATTTCCTGCACTTAAACTGGAGCTTAGCATGAGACAGCCGCTTTGCCTGCTAGGTGATTAAATCTTGATGTGGTATTCAAGAGTTACCTTGCTCATTGTGATAATTTTGATAATGTAATTGATTTATTGGGCTCTTCTTTGGTAATGTAAACATAATTTAGCCTTCAGGCAGATGTTTATATCTTGAAACGCCTGTTGTTATATTTTAACCCTGTTTTGGCCATGATGCTTCCTTATTCAGTTGTAGCAATGTTTTGTAATTCTAAGATCTATCAAAGCAATTCACCACAAAAATACAAAAATCATAAAAAAATCTTAGAAAGCTTTTTTTTTTTTATCCATTTCTCGTTAATTGACTTCCTTTATGTTTTTGTTTTTAAGCTTCTAAATTTGCAATCTTAGTGAGGCTGCATGAGGTCGAAAGTGTATAACATTTCTCATAACAGCTGCTATGTTCCTTCAGTTGGTTCTCCCTTTAAACGCATTGTGAATTCTGTAGTAGTTTGTCTGTTTTTGTGCATAGTATGCGGGAATGTTCCGGATCCACGAATGGGATATTAGCAAGGTTTACAATTGGCAATCTTTCCTTATTATTTTTCTGATTCCCTTGATTCGAGTGCTGCTTCTCATCACATCATGTGACAATGATTTGAAGAATTATGGTTAACAGTGGTTTGTTTAACTGTTATTGATAAAAAAAAAATTATTTTTTTCTTTTCTTACTTGTTTATTTTGAAAATAAACTTTCGTATGAGGCTTTATGGTTGGAAACACAGTATAATTGCTGTAGTTAATTTATAACTTATATAAAATTTGGAGTAAAGTTGTTACGTGATAAATGAATATGAGTACAGGCTGAACTTTTTGCGTATTTCTATTGTGAACTATTACTTGCTGCCGTAACGTGAAAATTTCTTTCAAAATACTTGGACAATGGAATAAAATACTTTTGTTGAAATCTTAGGTGAACCTCACCTCAAGGATTTGAATATGGTGTCGTCATTTTGAAGTGTACTTTATCTAACCATAATTATCAAATATTCAGGGCTAAGATCTACTAAAATGCAGAGGATCTTTGATCATTTATTTTATTTATTGGTGTACAGTGCATCCCACAACACTAAATTGTTGGACCCATGTACAGTGTTTTAAAATCTCACCCCACCTCCCGGGTTGACCCAAGTCAACCCTGACTCTTCCCCTCTGAGGGTTGGGGTCACAAGTTAGACCCTGTATGCACATCGGCTCCTCCGACTCCAAAACCCGACCGGGTTTCAGTGACTCCCGGATCAGAGGGGTCAAAGGGGGTCACTGCATGTTTTTTTTTTTAAAGAAAATTTCATGAAACAATGTCATTTTATTAAAAAAAATAAAATAAAAATGCTTACAAACCTAAATCTAATCGTTCTCTTCTCTTCCAGCGACCTAGACTTGTGGTATCTTGATACTTTGGAATCATTAGAATATGAGTTTTGTACTTTGGTATCTTGATACTTTAATTAGGTTGTGTAATATTGATTTGTGGTTATAATTGATGAATTATATTAAATATATTTTAAATCTTTAATGATTGGTGATTTGTTTTTTAATATTTTCATATAGGATATATATATTTATATTTTTTCAATATATAAAATCGGGTCAGTGTAATGACTCCGTGACTCCTCGGTTGAACTCGTGACCTCTGACTTCGGCCGAATCAATAGCCGGGCCGAGTTTTTAAACACTGCCCATGTAAACCCCAGCCCGTGAATACCAATCACAAGAAGCCAGTCAGGAACAATTAACTGAAGATTTTAATTAGACTGAGCAAAGAGCATTAAGACACAAACTTCTTACAAACAGTTTCAAGAGTAATGATATCTCCGCTGATAACTTTAGAAAGATATCTATATACTTCGATGGTAGCAAGAGATTTGTAGATTTTTGGTATTTCAATGGAATTGATCGAAGTCAAATATTAAACCCAAATATGAATATTTCTATCAAAAAAGAAAATTCTGAATATCTTGTGTGCATTGCACCGTGTACATTTCTGTGCATCCATTTCTGACCTAAGTTATCATGTATCATCAACATTCATTCACACTGTTGAGGCCCAGTCGTACAACGATAAAAAAGAATAAAAGAGAGTTTAAGCCTGGAAAACCTCAAAGCTGAGATAAAAAAGAGCAGCAGAACAATTTGAGGTTACTTACAACAACAGCTACCAAGTCTCAACATTGCATGACATCAGGTCGCTACAGTGCATGAGTGTACAAAATATGCTTCAAACATCACTATCTCTATATGAATACAATTTGTGAGAGCATAATGCAGATAATGCTGTAGGAGTCTAGGGCACTATGCATTCTTATTATCTGTATCCTTTATTATCTTCATCCTTGTCCTGCTCATGATCTACAAACAAGTCTTCAGGAGGGTCATAGATTATCATATCCGGGAAAATCTCTAAGAAGTCATCTTTTATTTTCTCTCTTAATTCTGGATACGGAATGAGCCCTTTTAACATAACGCGAAAAGGCAATGACAGAGGGGGCTCAGGAGATTGTCTCATTTCTTCATATATGTCCATTGCCTCTGAGGGCAATCCACTATCTAGAAAAGCTCTAATAATGTCTCCAAATGTATGCTGATCAAATAAAACTGCCTCCCTCTTCAAATCATCCCAAACCCTCTTCGCTTCTTCCACCTTTCTGTTTCTTGCAAGCATCATAAGCATATCCCTGTAAAAGAACATGTCTGGCCGGTACCATATTTCTTTGCGCACTATATCATACAACTGAGAAATAAAAGATTTGTCAACAAAAGCATATACGCATAAGAGACAACTGTCCGGTTATGAGCATTAAAGAATAACAAATTCATATCAAAATATGAGATCAAATAGTTAACTAAATCAAACAACGCCAAGAATTAAACACTTGAAATATGTAATAAAATGTTTAGATAAAATTCAGTTTTTGCAGTCTCTTTTATTTTTATTTTTTATTTTTCTGGTTCTATTTATATTGGATATTTGCTGCACATTATGGTGCACATTACAGTTTAATAGTATATCCATAGTTAACATTCAACATTACAACTTCATAACAAAGCAACTACAAGTAATAAAGTATAAACATAATTTAAAACTTGACCCAACTGATATACTATGCTTAGCCTAGCACTTACATTATCTTGTAGTTAACAAAAGAGAAAGAAAATATAAAAAAACAATTCAACCCAAAAGCTTAAACTGTTAAGTGAATGCCACATTAATTGTTTTATATTATATTTCTCTAACATGTCCCCTCACACAAGAGCTCATTGAGTTTGAAGGATGGACAATGCATACGTCCCTCATACCTATACTAAGAAATTCCACAATTTTTAATTATTTATTAATAGAATGGGGGCGATGAGGATCAAACTCGTAACCCTCTGGTCACAAAGGTTCTGATACCATATAAAGAACCATTTCAACCCAAAAGTTTAAGTTGTTAGGCAAATGCCACATTAATGGTTTTATATTATATTTATCTAGCAAAAAATAATGAAAACATAAAAGTAGCTTTATAAACCCAATATATATTACAGAACATAGACAATTCAATCAAAGCACCTAACAATATAAACCGAAAAATGTACATTTTGAGGCCAAAACCATGAATGAATCTAGGCTAAAAAATTAACAAATAGAATTGAGAGTTCATCAATTTTGTTTGCCTTTACTTGAACTCATATGAGTTTACCAAAAAGAGAGTTTACATGTGACTTAACTCATTTTTGTATCCCAGAACCGTATACTCAATAGAGTTTAAGAATTAACTCAAGAATTTGATAACCATAGTCTGCCGCTGCTTCTTATATTCTGTAAACACATGTATCGAACACTACTTTCAGTGTATTATTCTCATTCAGTTTACAATATATACAGCAGACTAACTAGCTGGGGGGATGGTGGGGGGGGAGAGAGGAGGATGACAACACCTAAATTGATGTCAATCATTTCTAGTTTGCTAACATTCGATTCTGACTTCAACAAGGATTATGTAAACATATCCGCTTCTTGTGACTTGGTTGACACGTAATGTGGGCTTAAAGTTCCATTTTCAATTTCTGATTTGATGAAATTTCTATCAATCCTCATATGCTTCATTCTATCGTGTTGAATGGGATTATGAACTACACTAATAGTTGACTTGCTATCACCATACATTTTCATAGGACCTTCAAGTGTAATAAATAGGCCTTGTAGTAACCTACTTATCCAAATAAGTTCACAAACTCCTTGAGCAAATGCACTATAAAGAATCATTATACAGGATCTGCTTGGGGACAGTGAGTCTCAACCGGGGTTCAAACTTCAAGGGGAGCGGCTGTTCTACAAAGAAAGGCTAGTGGTGCCCAAAGCGTCTAGGTGGGTGGCCCAAATTCTTAGGGAGCCTCACGACTCTGCAGAAGGGGGTCATTCAGGGAAGCACATACAGGAGTATGTCACTATTTGTGTAGTCTGTCAGAGAAACAAATTCCAGACTACCTATTGCTGCGGGATTATTGCAACCTCTATCCACTCCGACCCAAGTTTAGACGGATCTTTCAATGGATTTCATAGGTTGTCTTCCAAAGGCTCATGGAGTGAATATTATGCTGGTGGTGGTGGACAGATTCACCAAGTTTGCACACTTCATAGCACTTTGTCACCCACTCACCCCTGTTCAGTAAAGCATGTGGTTGAATACTTCATTAAAGAAGTTACATAGTTTTCCCTCCACCAATGTAACAGATAGGGACAGAGTTTTTATGAGTCAATTCAAGGCAGAAATCTTTAAACAAGCTGGTACTCAGCTCAAATTCATTTCAGCATACCACCCACAATCCAATGGGCATACAGAAAGGGTAAACTGATGCTTAGAAACCTACCTTAGGTGCTTTAGCAGCCCTAAACCGAAACAATGGTCCAAGTGGCTCCATTGGGGTGAGTATTGATATAACACCAATTACCACAGTTCCATCAACATGACTGACTTCCTTCAAGGCTTTATATGGCAGCAACGTACCCTCCCTGCCCGAAGGAGGTAATCAATAAGTGATGGTGGATGAGGTTGAGAAACTCATAGCATTGCAGCAAAATCTTTAAAAACTCTTGGAAAGTTCCATCTGCAATTCAAACTCAGTTTCCTGAATTTCACCATGAGGATTCTTGGGGGAGTACTGTTAGGAACCCATGAGTCCATGACCACCCATCACTAGAGTCTACTCTAGGAAGGGGTATAGAGGATCCAAACTCCCAAGAGGAGGTGATTACTATGTGAGCGCATATTGTGGCCAGGCTGTTATACAGTTATGGCTAGTGTGGAATGCGGAGAGGAGTATATAACAGAATAGGGAAGATAGAGGTGATAAGCTAGATTTGAGACTAAAGGAGGGGTATTGTATGAGAGACTGGCCTCACGAAAGCCAGATATCATTTTCCTTACTTTATGTGTGTTACGGACCTTGAGGTCACCACCTCAAAAACTAGCTCAAAGGGTGGGAGTGTGCCCAAGACCTTATAAACCCCACATTAGTTTTCTATCCAACCAATATGAGACTTGTAACATTGCCACCCTTTTTAAAGGCCGACATCCACGGCGGCTTTCACTCTATCGACACTGACCTGGTGGTATTTTGGCGACTTCACTTATCTATCAGTATTTAGTACAACACCCCTTTGGGAGGTATGACATCTTAATCCAGCCTATAGGTAGCCTTTTCTGTGGCCTCAACTCTTAATGAAAACACCAATTGTTACGAACCTTGAGGTCACCACCCAAAAAACTAGCTCAAAGGGTGAGAGTGTCCAAGGCCTTATAAACCCCACATTAGTTTCCTATACAACCAATGTGGGATTTGTAACAATGTATAATTTCCTTCTGTAATTCATACACAAGCTTCTGACATCATCATATATCAGTAAGCCATACAAAATACAATACGTTTCAGTGTTTTCTATTGTTACAACTTACCAAAAACCAAAAATCACTTACCATTAGATCCCAACTAGCGGCGAGGAAAATCCTAGTACGCAGCCTACCTTGCATTTTTGCTATGAAGGTGTTTTCTAGATCCGAACCCGACATAACATTCTCACCCTATTGTATTCACTCTGTCCATTATAATTATACTTCTTCAATCAACTTGTTTTTGCCTATAGTTATGTTTCCCTGTGCAACTAACATTATGTTCCCAACTCTACAATGACTAGTGCATTTACTGAATCCAAGTTCCCTCTTAATTGAATCTAACAGAAAAGAAACCATATATCAATTGCTATAGTTTTTTTTACTCATATGAAATTGCAATCACCAATCACCAATCACAAGGATAATTAATTAGTAACAAAACACATTAACAGTGAAACAAGAAAAAGCACGGAAACACGAACCTTCATGCAGAGAAAAACCTGGTCCTGTCTCTGGAACTCAGCGAGCACGGCGACAAGGTCCGATTTGAGCAAGCGAGAAACATTGGACCGGATGTAGCGGTCGAACCGGACCGGGTCGGGTTGGAGCCTCTTGAGCTCTTTAGCCACGATGAGGCCTTCTTTGCCAATCTCCTTCTTCCGCCTCCATATTGAAAGGCTTGGGCTCGAGGCTGAACCGGAAACGGACCGGGAAAAAGAATTAAGTACGGTTCGGGTGTGAGCCGGAGCCGTTGAAGAAGCTCTTCGAAGTGCAAGACGCAGCATTACATACGAGGAAGCGAAGTTACACTGAGATGAAAGGAATATTTTTCATTTCTATTCTACGTAATAATATTTCATTTTTTATTTTTACAAAAAAAAATTGAGATAATTCGTTATTTTAAATTTGATTAAAGACCGATTATTATTTTCAAATCTTGTCATAAATCTAACGTACAAACATTTTATCCTATGGTTAACAAAAATAATATATATATATATATATATATATATATATGAGTTCACTTTTTCTACGGTCAATGTAGATAACTTATTGAGCTCAAAACGAAGTTGTTTTGAGGCGAAAATCAAGGTATTTTTTTAATTATAATTTGTTTCAGAGTTATAATAGTCTTTTTCATTATAATTTTTTAATTTTTCAACCCAAAACGACGTCGTTTTGAGAGCGAATGTAGATAACTTATCTACATTCACTTTAGAAACATTAAAACATATATATATATATATATATATATATATATATATATATATATATATATATATATCTCAATTTAAATAACACAAATTATGTCATTTTATAGATACAAAAAAATGGGATCCACATTTTTATTTTGTTTTTTTGTTTTTGTTTTTTCAATGAGACGTACACCTCTTTGTGTCTATGAAATAACACAAATTATGTTATTTAAAATGATACATACTTACCAAATGGTGGTAGTTCAGTTGGCGCATAAGAGTTGAGCAAGTGGGGGTGAGAGCATGTGTTTGATCCTTCCCATATCATCTTTAGGAAGAGTTTAAAGCCTTAATTCTAGACCCGTCCTGAATCAGACTAGTCGCGACGCGATGAACCGATCGAAATATTTCAAAATAAAAATAAAAATGATACACACTTTTTCAAAATAAAAAATAAAAATTGTGGGTTGAACTACATATTGGGTCAATCCTATTGATCCATGAAACTATGGGAATGGATAATGTGAACAGAAGCCCAGAGTCCACCGAGAATAGAGAAATATCTGCAACATTGTGATGCATAGCATGTTGCTGAATGGTAAACAACTAGTGATTGCTGAGCTAAGAGTTGCCATATCTCAGCTAATTCACCTAAGCATGGCAGCTGATACAATGAGGATATATCATATTAAATTATATAAATGTTTGATAAAAAAATTAAAAAAAAAAACTTACATAAATATAATATATAAATTATTAAAATGTGATTTAATTTAAACAAATGAAATTTACAAAGCAAGTATGGTTTGAAACTAATACTTCTGCAATAAAGTCATGTAATTAATATTGGACCCTTTTGTAATTAATATACATATATATATATATATATATATATATATATATTATTCATTATTAGAAATATTGGACCCTTTTGATATTTGAATTTATCATAAATTTCATTTACATATAAATCTTTTTAAAAGTCATCATATTTGCTTCCAACCCACTAATTAAAAAAAATCTTAGATTGGATCAACTGCGCAGACTCTTGTGTTGACATAGAATGCCATGTTAATAAATTCTGTTAATATTTCTAACGGTGTTAGTAATTGAGATGAATTTTGTGTGCTTTAGAAAATATATAAATAAAATAAAACAAAATATAATTGTAGGACAAAAATAAAATCTAGAGTGAAATATATATTATTCTCCATATAGAAGTGTTAACGAGCCGAGCCAATATTTAGTTTTAAAAGGCTAAGTCTGTGTTTAAATGTGTCAGCCTGACCAAGCTTGTTACTTGTTATAAATATAATTATCGGCCTGTGATCTGATTTATTTATAAAAAATAAAAGTCTGATTTAGTCTGTTAGCCTGTTTAAAAAAATTAAGACAACAAAAATTTATCCAAACAGAATATACAATCAACAATACTAGTAATTTCATAAATATTCATAAATTCAATGTATATCCAAACAGCATAATATAAAACAAAATATTCAAAAAGTCTGTTTAACCAATCAAATGGGGTGAAATAGATCGAGGAGAAAGAGAGAGCTATTACAAGTAGTATAAAAAATATAAAATAAAATAAAAATATACTAGGCCAGACTGAGAGGCTCTAAGGTCGAGCTTTTAAATTGGAGTCTGAGGCCTTTTTATTAAACGAGCTTTTATACAAGTTCAAGCCTTGTATCAACAACCAATTTTAGACATGTAAACTCAGGTCTTCACGAACCGAGTCAAAGGCCCCTGATTCGTTTAGCACCCTAGAGTCACTAAGTAGAGAAGGGGGAACAAAACAAGCAAGAAATTATAATCTGGAAGTTAATATGACACCCTCTCTACCGAACAAGCAGAATAAATTGACTTAAAGGCAGTTAAACAACATCACATGCGCCTCACACCGCTTTGAGCTTTTATTCCAAATGATACATCTGTAAATGGGGCATTGTCTGAAATTTTTGTCACAGAGTTTCTTTTCCAATCTAAATTCGTGTCTAGACATATATCAAACATGTCTAGGAGACCCATTGAATATGTCCCCATTTTGATCCCCCAACGATTTAACAAAATAGAGCTAGCTAGCTAGAAAATCCAAATAGGTCATGAGATTATGGAACAATGCCTTAGCTGTGTTTTGGAAATTGCTACTTCTTTTGGAGGAATTTTAGAGAAATGCTTCAAAAGCTGGGGGGAAAAAACGATGGGGAATGGCCAAATTTTGAGGATGAAAAGGAACGAGGAATGAGAGTCCCAAAACGACACCCTTAAAGTCTGAAGAATGCTCCTTCACATGGTTGGGCTTTGAGGGTCCATAAGCTACATGACTAAACTTGAAACATGTTTTGAGTTAGTCTAAACAACCCTCTAATGTATGGAACTTAATAAATCCTATGAAAATCTATCGGTATTAACCAAATTCATACTAAATAATCTGCCTATTGGAATGCAAAATAGCCCAACGAGAGTGAAAATTTCAATCTTTTCTACAATGCCATTGCCAATTTGCATCTCTATTAATTGGCTAAGTAGGTAGGAGAATATTAAGGACTAGTCAAAATAAACCATGAAAACATTTGGCATGGGATTGGGCTATAGGGTAATTGGGATCCCATACAAATTTTTCTGGTATAAAACTTTACTCTCTTTCTCTCTCTCTCTCTCTCTCTCTCTCTCTCTCTATATATATATATATATATATATATATATATATATATATATAAAATTACTCATCTTCTGTCACTCTTAATTTGTAAAATGTGCCTAACTTTTTTTTTTCTTTCAAAAGAATTGATGGGACTCAGTTTGCTTCTATATGCGAGAAAGTTGGTGATCTCCTGCAGCAGAAGAAATACAAAGACTATATATATATATATATATATATATATAGAGGCAGGATCCTTTGACACCGGTGTCAAACTTAAAATTTGACACCTCATCTGATAGCCGTTAGATCAAAAAAATCAACGACTCTGATTTGTAAGCATGTGACACCATTGATCTTTTTTGATCTAATGGCTATCAGATGAGGTGTCAAACTTTAAATTTGACACCGGTGTCAACAGATCCAACCTCATATATATATATATATATATATATATATATATATATATATATATATATTAAATGTAAATGTAAGATTTTTTGAGATCAATGTCAAATTTAAAGTTTGACATTAATGCTTATAACTCTGAGTCGTTGATCTAATGGTGTCACATGCTTATAACTCTGAGTCGTTGATCTTTTTTTATCTAACGACTCTCAAATAAGATATCAAACTTTAAATTTGACACCAATATCAAAGCATTCTATACTGAAATTTTACATGTTTCTATCAAAAGAAATCTTGATTCTCAAAAGGTATAAAACTTTCGTTTTCCTCGTGGGGCGTAAATTTGTTGGTGGGAACTGTGAAAACGTAAAAGTTGGGCCAATCAAAGTGATCTTAATCCTTCAAAATACACCTAGGCCCAATAATGAAGCGAAGCTTTCCTTCACGGGCAGGTTGATCAACCGCACACTCATTGAGAAACATGGCATGGGGTTTAGCCCTTTGCTGCTTCCAATGCATGGTTGTGGTCATTTGAATGCTTAGGATACTTCAGGACTTACAAGAAACCCATCAATGATATGTCCAAACTCAAAAAGAAGAACCAAGAAAATAAAGAAGAAAAAAGCATCATAATTTAAATCCTTGGAAAAGGAGTAAGTGGAGTGTCCCTTAAACACTTCTAATCTAAATATATTTGTAATGTGCCATACATATGCACATTGCGGAATAAAATATGGTTCTTGTAGTTACACAAATAATTAAAAATAAATCTTAAGTATTTCATTGTAAGTTGTAACCGAAGAATAAATTAGATTTCTAAATTATATAAATTGATTTAATTATGTATTTGCATAAGAGAATTAGGTAGAGAGTTAATTTGCTAGGGTTGGCATTGCAAAAGTAGGGGCAATGGTGGAACCTGCTGCTTGAAGAGCATGGGAGATGGAAAAGGGTCCAATGGGGGAGACAAACTCACATATTTTGACTCACACGTATCCTAACTATGCTTACTATGCAGTACTTGCTTCCTTCAAAAAAAAAAAAGAGAGAGAGAGAGAGAGTCACGTTGAACCACTCAATTTACCAGGGGACCATTTTCTACATGTGAAGACCTTTTACCTTTTCCTTTTTGCCTTCTCATGTCTCTGATTCCTCTCTTTGATCCTATAATTGACCTAACCAAGTGACTCAATATGTGGGTTTATACTATTTACTCATAGCCACTCTTCATCTATATATACAACTATAGTGTGTTCTTTTTATTTTTATTTTCAATTTAAAAATTACCAAACCAATACATAAATCACAAATTATAATTAGACGACTTGGTTCATTAGATAACTTATTAATAAAATATCACCAAAAGAAATCAAACTTTGACTTTATAATCGGCCATTTGATCTAACTACTTGAATTAATCCATAGTAGCAAGAGTCACCTTAGATTCAATTTAAATTGCTTAGTTGCTTAACTACCTTTGTTTCTTATTTCCTTTTTGTAAAGTTCAATTGTTTTACATAAAGTAGCTATCATATGAATTTTTATCGATAGAG